TCAAGGGATGGCTACATGACTCTGAGGTCTCATATGGGAAAATTATTTCCCAATTTCCATTGCACAAACATATTAGTCTATGTTATTTGAACAACAGACAAAACAATCTTATTGCTTAAAAACAAGGCAAATTTCTTTTTGCTAGGAATTGTCCATTTTATCCTGTTAAACATTTGCACATTTCATTAGATTAATAACAACTACGCATTTTCTCATGGCTGTATTAATTCTAATAGATCCCCATGGAAGTCATGATGAATACTTGCAAAAACTGATACACAGATTCTCCTCCACACCATGGATGTGCCAAAAAGCTCTTGAACTCACTAAGACTTTCCTTTGTCCTCTCTCCCCCTCCAAAGAAGGGTTTTTCTTTGCTACAGCAAACTCACAAACCTTTGAGAAGTTTGCAAATTCTAACACAAATGAGTTGCAGCAACTGCAGCTCAACCAAAGCTTTGTGCAAAGACACAATTTATGTCCTTTTGTTTGCAGCACCACAATCCTCTGGATGCTTGGGAAAGACTGCCGCAACCAGAGCTTTTCTCTGGCAGTCTTTTGCTTATCAACTCTTGCTTCTTCAAAAGCAAGAAGCAAAGAACCACACATATTGTTAAAATTCATAACCCAAAGTATTCAGCTTAAACCACTGAAAGTGCTTAAGTACCTTTGCCATGAGGCAGGGAAGTGAATGGAGCTGACCAGGGAGAAGACAGGACAGGTAGCTTGGGCAGTGTAACACCACTGTAGCTCTTTGCTGCAGCACATGGGAAAAACATTTGCAAGTACTCTGCAATCCTAGAAAATAATTCTGAGCTTCCAAAAAAACCTAATCTCTAACTCCAAATATTACAGACTGACTGATCACTAAGCCTTTGTATCCCAGACAATTCTTCATTACAGAAGTGATGTGAATTAATGACAAACAGATCACTAACCCATTTGCAGCCCCAGAGGGGAGTTAACAAAAGGATGACACCAGAGTAGACACTGGTCTTCCTCAGCTGCTGTCCTAGCAAATGACTGAGGTGTTTTTTTGGTCTTGAGGAAAAGAAAAAAACACAAACAAAATTGTTTTTATACTTAGCTCATCTATCCTTTATAAGTCTGTGCAATATTAAACATTTTAAAGAAAGATGAATAAGGCTCAGGAACAATTATCTCTAGAGCAAGGAGTCTATACTTAACCCTGTCAGTGACTGGATGGTCACTACTATTTCAATACAAAAGATGACAGTGATTGTCTCCACACTCAGATTAACACTTCTGGCTTTGACATCTTGTACTGAGGAGTTGTGCATGCACTCTGAGCTGAGCATCCAAAACTTTTTGGCTACCAGCTCTCATGTAAATGAGTGCTCCTCTAGCTTCTGCCCTCTGTGCTGCCAAGTAAACTGAACAGCCTCCCCCTCTGCCAGCAAAGTAGTATAACTTTCCAAAGCGTTTGCCATGAGTAACTGTTGGCCATCAACTCAATCTCCCTGGCTACAGCTGAAGCAGCCATAGAACACAGACTCTGAATGTTAACAGTATCACATTCCTGTACCTCTTATTCTGAAATGTTCTGAGACCCTAGTTTTGAGCCAGAGTGGCCAGTTAATTGGGCACGAATCTGTCAAGTGTATGTTTAGCAGAAAGAATTTTCCATCTCAACCAAGTGCTGAATCCCATTCAACTGTGGTGTCTGACCTTCCTGCTCGTCTCTTACACTTATGTGCGTCACCTGAAGCTTTTCCATTTCGGTCTTGATAATTCCCAAACTGGCATACATTAAGCCTCAGTACTACCATGGAACTCCAGGATAACCCACTTCCTCTTTCCTTGTGCTATCAAAGGCCTCTAGTGCTACGGTGCATTAATATCTAATAGAATATTTTGGCTGGAAGGCATCTTCTAGTCCAACTACTTGACTACTTATGGGCTGACCAAAAGGTAAGGTGTGTTATGAATGGCACTTCAGTGATAATTCCCACAGTTCATTCCTCAATAATCCCTTATGAGGACACCGACAAGCAATTCTTCAGTCTTTCGACCACTGTACAAATTAAATATCCTACTAGACAAATACTTATCTTTACTAAAGACATTGTCTTGCCTTATATTTAATAAGATGTTCAGTTCTTCTCAAGACATTTCAAATGGCTTTCAAAAGACCAAGATAATGTTTCCCTAGCCTGCCCAGAATATAATTTCTAGGAATTAATGAGGTATATTTATCAAATTCTTATTCTGACTCTTACTGAATTTATTTGGCACTTAAGCACTCAAAACTAATTGGAGGGTTCTTCACAATCCATCAGAGATTCCAGCCGAGCTAATCTGTTCACTTTAATGCTCACAACAACTCTTTATTTTGATGCACTTCTATGCCTCACACAGTATCAAATACCACAGGTCACAAGTATCAAGTATCTTCTGTTATGAAAATTAATTCAAGGTTTCTCCCCATTCTGTATTTACTTCAATCCACCTGTTGAGGTCTCAGACTTAGGCAAGTTTCTTGCCAGAAGACTAGCAGGATTTCCCAAGACAATTTAAGCAACCTTCATTTTCAATATATGAAAATCTCTTAAATTTTGTAATCATTTTTCCATTTTTCTATTTAACTTTCTATACATCTAAAGTTCCTCCTGAACCACTGGGACTAGAGCTGCACTGTCTTCACCACAAAAAAAAAGAAAGGTTGTCTTGCTATATTTTGCAAAATGCTTTTTTACATGTTAAAATTTATGTTAAATCCACAGTTTTAAAGATATACTTAGAAAATGCATGCTGAAGCAAGCATTTCAGAATCTTCATTTCTACTTCATATGTACATATCTATCAATCTGGGTGCCTGGTTCTAGTAGTCCTGAGCAGGCAGGGTGGACCAGATGACTTCCAGAGGACTCTCCCCTCCTGGAAGCATGGATCAAACAGTGCTGGGGAGAAGGTCTTGGGGTTTTGGTGGAGAGCTGAGGCTGTTCAGCCTGGAGAAGAAAATGCTGCAGAGAGACCTCACAGCACCTTCCAGCACACAGAGGAGCTACAAGAAGGCTGGGGAGGGACTTTTTACAAGGGCAAACTGACAGAGAGCAGGTTTGTACTAGATATTAGGAAGAAATTCTTTACTGCAAGGGTGGTGAGGCACTGGCACAGGCTGCCCAGAGAAGCTGTGGCTGCCTCATCCCTGGAAGTGTTCAACATCAGGCTGGACAGAGCTCTGAGCCACCTGGTCTACTGGGAGGTGTCCCAGTCCATGGCAGTGGTGTTGGAACTGTATGATCTTTAAGGTCCCTTCCAACCCAAACCATTCTGTGAACCTCAACCATCACAAGATATTTATCTACTATACTTGCTTTGATTGGTCTTATCTTCAGTTTCTCTAAATGCATAAAAAATTTCTATCTTTAATTTACTAACCTACACAGTCTGTGTAGTAGACACAGAACACAATCACAGCTAAACTCCTTCCAATGTTTGCATAAATGCAGATTTTAGAAAACCATTTCCTTCATACCTCTAACTCAAGAGCTCTCTGCTCTTAAAAAAAACCCAACCCAAACAACAAAACAGTAACTTCCATCTAACAAAATCCCAACAAACATTGGTACACAGATATCAAATCAAAGAACTGAAACAGAGGTCTCCCGGTCTGTCAGTTCGTACTGCTAAGGAAGTATAGGAGCAGTGCAAAATAGCACAACATAAAGGTAGCACTGATTACACTAAGTTGGAAACCACTATTTTCACATGGATAACAATGCACAGCAGTCAGAGTACCTTCCCCTTCACTCATCTTCATAATGTGCAAAACCATTGAAGCACTTTAAGAGCACTTCTCCTGCATCCCCCACTCAAGTTAACAGAAAACACATCTGAGGTTCATGACATTTATCTGCAGGAGGAATACAAATATTTCGATGGACCTAACTGCATCAAACAAAGCTACTGATTTAGGTATGGCTCTGACCACCAGGGACAGAAAGCAGGTGGCAGAGGAGAGATGCAACTGTTATCCAGCATTTACTTGTCAGTGAATAATTTTATCTACACGAGACATCACCCTTGGGAAATGCTGGAGAGAATCAGCACCATTACCTGTGCAACAGGCTGGACACCAGCAAAGAACAACCCAACACTTACATTCAGGAAGTGTATCCATGCGTACAAGTGGAGTATTGTGGAATTTCAGATTTACAAAACTGCTTTATGGTTTCTGTATAAGTAATAAGCAATGTGATACAGCATGAATCAGGATGTCAGGAGAAAAGGGCTATCAGGGGAAAAGGGTTTTTATTTTGCTATGTAGGTCAATACAAGAAAAAGACAATAGTAAAAGGGTAACAAAAACGGTAATAAGAAAGTAAAAGAAACAAAATGCCAAAAGAAATTCAAGAATGAGAAAGAACATATGAAGAAAAAACCCAGACAATTCTGCTTTTAAGGTCAGCAAATTTTGTTTATTCACATTTGCTCCTAGATTTACTACATTTTTTTAACACATTCCTAAGTCCTTGGGCTTGGGAAGGTGCAAGAAGTTTCTCCTGGACACAAGTGTGGCACATTACAAGAGTCCTGGGGAAAAATAGCCATTACTATCTGAAAATCAGCATGAAGTTTTTAGTGAAAAATTAGAAATTGAAGCAAGCATTTTTATCTGCAATTATAACAACTAAAAAGGTGCTAAATGTATATGACCTCATAAGGCCCACCAGAAGCTAAGTCCTTTTTACATTTTACATAAATTTTTGTTTTACATAAATTCAAAACTAATGATCTGAAGTATTCTGATACAAAACAGGTACTCGCAGAAATATGAAATGCTTATTTAAGTTAAATAAATGGTTCAAACTGAACACAGTTTAATTTCTAACTGCTTTAACAACATCAACTGGAAGTTTTGGAGTTTGGATTATTATAGACTTGAAAAAACAGCTTAACTCACACATACTGTTCTTAAAGATGTGGGATCAACAAAAATGCAGGAACTGTTCCAATGAAAAACAACGAGGACCTACTGCATGGCCTATGTGAATGCCATCTCCAGTGGGCCAACAGTGTTTGCCAGAGGAGCCACACAACTGCCCTCCAGCCTGCTGCTGGCAGAAATACCCAACTGCGGCGTCATCCTCAGAACATCACTGAGGGGCACCTGGACACTGGAAGGACCTGACACCGCAGTTGCAGGGATGGAGTGAGGAGTGTTTCCACCTGAACTGGGCCCTGATGTTGCTGCAACTACTGTTCCAGCTGGGACAACCTTCAGTCCAACCCTAGTGGCTTCCTGACCAATGTTCACACGCATCATTCCTCTGATCTCCTGCCAGGCCACTTCATTCATGCCTAGGAGGACACATCAAATGTTTGTTCCACATAGAAAGCTAAAAAGACAGAGTCTTAATAACATAAAAGGCTTTCCCTCATATTTTTAAATATGCAGCTCTTATAATTAGGATTATAAAAATAAAGAAGTTCAAGCAATATAAGAACTAATTGTCAAAGGTATTCATTGATTTCAACTGTACATTTTAAATACCACTGCCAAACTAGGACTCTAAAAGAAACAAAGTATCACAGGCAATATATTAATGTGGTAGAGCTCCATACATTATAAATGCTTGTGCACATATTTCTTTGGAAAAAAAAAAAGGCAGAAATTTCTTTTACATTATTACTCAGCATGATGTGTAAACCACTAATTCTGTCATACTGCTAGGTCTGATTTTATAAATGGTAGACTGGGTAACAAAGCAGCACAGAACACTAACTTCTCTGTCTGAACTACATCTCATTCTTACACACCAGCCTCAGTTTTTCTTTCAAATGCTTAAGCTATGTAAGATTCTAACACAGTAATAGACATTAAACTTCTCCAACCCACATGGTAGTACCATTGGGGATCTTCACAAAATAAATATTTCAGGCTCAGATCAAAATTAAGTTTGCCAACTCACTTGTGCATCATTTAAGTCTTGGCTTAAAACAAGTATAAATGAGAACTGAAAAAAATCTCTGGTAACAACAAAATCCTCTGCAGGAAAAAAACACTTGTCCCTGCCCAAACACATACACACGTTCTCAATCTACAATAACTGATGTATTATCAGTCCTTTTCTATGTAAACAGAATATAAACCCCAAAATATCACCTACATTCTAAATTAAGTAGGTTGGGGTTTTTTTGAGAGGGGGACAGGCAATTTCAAGTCCAAGAAATGTCTTGTTTTTCATGCTAAACAAAAGAGTTAAATCCAAATAAATTCTGGCATAGATGGAAAGGTATTTAATCGGACTAGAACACTTAGGTCTGAACACACAGACAAAAGAAACTACAGTCCTTTAATCCCTCTGCAATTCTACCTTTTTCACTGAGCCTTACAGACTAACAAATGTCCAATCTTCAAGGAAATATAAAACACAAAGACAGCTATAAGGTAGGACTATTTTTTTAATAATCTTGAACAATCTTGAGTTTGTGACTAACACATAAGATCTAAAGCTATTCTGGCTTATCAGTGCTGTTACAGTAGGTATTTGCTTATTGTCAAAATACCCTTTTAACAACAGTTCTGCAACTTCTTCAGACTACGTGACTATCTCATCATTGTACCATGCCCAGAACCAAAGTTTAAACAATATGTATCATAAAGGAGATAAACAGAAAGATACTTGAAAAATATGAGTCAAACCAGACTCCTTGTTTTTAGCTCAACTACACTAAATCATCTAAAGCATGCCTGGCTTTGTATTCAATCAATAGACACATGTGAAGAGTTACAGAACTCGATGCAGCTTTTAGAAACTCACTTCCTCTTTGAGCAGATTTGTAAACAAATTCTATACTAAACTTCAGATGAGCCACACAAAATGTGTATGTCACCCAAAATTCTACCATGAAATAACAGGTGAAATCTAGGAGTAAAGTTATGAACATAGGTCTGATACAAACCTCGTTTCCGTTAGGATTTACATGTTGAGAGCTTTATATGAAGAGACAACCAGACCTATGACCTGTAACTGAGAGTTTTGCCTATACCTTAATAAGGTATCTTGGAATTGTATGAAAAATTAAAACTGAAAATAATCAAAAGTGCAAAAGGTACACCAAATTACTTAGTCCAACATAGATAAATATTTGTTGTAAGAAAATGAGGCTGTCAGAAAGGCTGCAGATGTGCTGTTTAGCACAGCCAGGAGAGGACAGAGGATCGTACAGCTGCTCCAGTTAGTGCAAATAGAAGCATATACAGAGCAGCCAGCAAAAAGACACATGTGGATTATTACAGAGATGTTTCAGCTACATTTCAGAGTTCTGCATTTCTTTCTCAACTCCTTAAGATGGTCGTCACAACCTCCTCACACGTTTTTTTCTACACATCTACAACTGCTCCTGAATAGCCATGTTTAGGGGGAAAAAAAAAAATCTGTTAAGCAATAATGAAATATAATCTTAAGAGATATTGCTAGCAATGACATCTGGTCTTTATTTGTAAGCTAAACATTTCACATACCAGCCTGAAAAACTCTTGCCTACTACTCTAAAAGCCACAGCAGGTATTCTGAGCAAGATCCAAACTAAATCTTGCTATGAAGTTCCAGCACACAAACCATTACTATAGAGTAAATTTCATACAACTCGTTTGAAGGTGAAACGGTTTACATGTTTTGATGTAATTTAAAACATTTTCCCATTATACGACTGCTAAGTGCCTCCAACTGCACTATTAGAAGCACCACCTAGAAGCACCACCTAACCGGTATTATTTGTTACAGGGGAAAACAAGCTTTTAAACCAAAGACTTCTTGCCCCATTTCCGAGACAAAAGCCTGGGCACTGGCTTTGTGACAGCACTGGAATGGTTGCATTGTGTGGAATAATCAAAACAGCTATGTTATGGGTGGGGAAATTAACATTAAACCAGGCGAGCATTTTCAGCTACATTTTTTGAGAGAAAGAAGATTGGTTAACTCTCTCACATACCTACACATACCACACACACAATGACAAGTATTTATAAATCGTGTCTGCTCTGCAGCCTTATGCTGTTTCCTCAGTACAGTTTCTATCAGAAACTTTTCTTAAAGAAAATACTACATATTAATGTTTGTTTCACAGGGGATTCCCAACACAGACAGAATTTAACATCCCAGAGAACTTAGGTTTCTTTTTAGTGCAATGGACAGTTAATTTTTACATAACTCCACATTCAAAAGCAAGCAGGAAGACATACAAGCAGGAATTCAAACCATCTACTGGATTACATGTCTCTGTGTATAAAAACTTGGTCTAATAATTTTAGGGGTTTAGAAACCACTGTACAAAGAAAAAATACATGAAGCTATCAAGGAGAATGTTTCTACATATGCTGATTATTCAGTGCACATTCACATATAACTAATAAAGGGGAGGGGGAAATACCTAGAAGTGAACTAGAAAGGGCTGTTGAAAAATCAGATCTAGCACACAGTATTCAACAAGCTGATTACCTGTTAACATACTTGCCCCAAACATGTGCAAAAATCAGCCCCACTGAGCTCAGTGCAGAGAAACACCAGAGAACAAATCTGGAGGAAAACAGCCACATAAAGCCTTCCATGTGCTCTGCAAGCCAGTGTAAGACTTAATATATACTGTCATAACAAGAGGAATCTTCTCACAAAAGGAGAGGCGAGCCCAGCTCCTTCAGCCAACTGCTTGTGCTATTAGCTCAATCACGACAGCAGACAGGATTACAACTGCCTCAGCTCTGTGCCAATAGCCCTAACACAGAAGAAAAAGCACTAGGGTGATACTACAGGGGGGTAAAAAGAACCATTCTTATTAATGTGGACAAAACACCACTCAAATAACAGACTTTCCTGCGTGCAACATCCACATAATAAAGTGCAGAATGTGCATTATCAGGCAGTTTCTCACATGCATTTGCCTACTAACCATTCTACTGGGACAAATTCCAGATTTTTGACTCCCTGAACACTTCAGAAAACTGTCAGGTGATTTGGAGTCATTTCCACACATATAACCCAAACTACACCACCACTAAATTAGCATTTCCCTTTTTATTCGAGTTTCCTTCTCCCACCTACCTAGTGTATTTATATTCGTGTTGACACGAACAGAGTTGTAGGGCAGAGAATGGTTCAGCTCAGCTCAACAGAGCTGTGACTGGCTATTAACAGCTGGTTCTAAACCTAGATATGGCTAAACGTAACAAAACACTAAAATATAACAAAATGCTGTGTTTTATATGCAAAAATGGTAACGTGGCATAGTAGTTATATTTCAAATGCATTCATATCCCACGTACCTGAAGCGCTAAACCATCAACTCTCTGCAACTAAGAAGGGCCTGGTCTCTCAGCTGAGATGCAACAAAGAGAAAGTAAAATAAACCTCAAAGCATTTTGTTAACATGTAGCATGTAAATGACTGTTAGGCGACATAAGAAGTTATACCGATTCTCACTGCTCGTACACATCTAATCGTTCTGAAAGAAGAAAAAACCAAAAATAAACATCCCAAAATCAGCTGATAAAAACCTCTTTATCGCATCACACCCCAAACACGCTGCACGTTTTGGTGCTGAGCCATTTTGCTAAGAACCGAGAGCCATAAGAACACCAACCGTCCCGAGTATATTCATTTTCTCTCAAGGAAATAGGGTCTGACCTTACGAAATACACGAAAGGAAACAACGCCAAAACAAAACCCTCTCCGCACAATGCCTGCCCAGGAGATTAACCCCACACTGCTCGCACGATCCACTCCGGGCAGCGGCGTTTTCCTCAACTTTTTGTTATTGCAGCCTGCGCGGGCACGCCTGAAGCACAACGAAACCTCGGCACCTCATTGTGTGCTACCGACCACCGAAGGCACCGCCTGGCCCTCTCGCTCCGCTCTCACAACGCGGTCGTTATCCTTAAGAGCGCTAAAAAACAACACAAGTCTCCACGCTGAGCTACGAAGGGTGCAAATCCCGAACAAAGCCCGCGCGAGCCCGGCGCTCCCCGCGACACTGCGCGCGGGGCCGAACGCCC